AAAAATGACAAAACAAGATGGCAGCAACACTGAGCTTAAGAAAACCTGGGAAACAGAAGGAAGAAAACAGACAAAAAAAATATCTTTGTGACATTTTTAATGTTTCTAAGAGATTATTTGGCAAGTATGATTAATCAATCTAGTTTACACATGAAGAATATATTCATATAGCACTTTCACTGAACATCAAAATAAATTAGAAAATCATCATCTATTATTTTCAATATGTAAGTATAAATAAAAAATTAAGTTGCAAAAAGAATAAAGATGTGCTACCAAAACCAAAGTAGGATGGAAGAGTTCCGCTAAGCAATTCAACAAAATCACACTATAGCAAAAGGGAGCAAAAAGTAGTGCTTAATGGTAAAAAAAGAAAGAAAGAAAGAAAGAAAGAAATTAAAATGCCCTGGGGGAAAGTCCTATCTTAAGAGCTTTTGATTTGGGACCTCCACATGGCCATCTTTCTCCTATCCTGTTTCCATTACTTTCTGCAGCGGTCACTGTCCTCTCACATCTAACAGCCACCTCCTCACTCTTCTAAACTATAGCTAAACTGTATAATAAAAGTCACAGGAGATGTACCTACTCTTTTGATTTCTAAGTGGCAAAATCTTTAAAAATCCAAAAATAGCAATCTTGTCCTCACTGGCATACAAAAATTTCAATGCACAGCTGCAATTGTCATTTTTACAGTATAATAACCCTGTCATTCCACAGATGGGTTTTTCCTTTTCTACCTCACTTTCCCTTTGCTCTGTACTCTCAAACCCTTGCAGGCTACTCCAAAACCCAGATGAAAAAAATAAGAAAATCCTATGGGAGGGCTTTCTTTCTTTAGGCTATAACAAACAGCAAGAAAATACTTACAGGATTTTTAAATTCTCACTTCTAAATTAGTTTATGTCACTCTGAAGAAGCTGGCATTTCCCACTCTTCTGTTACTAACATCTGACTCTAATCCTCAATCAAACAATTCTGAAATGTGTTGGCTGTATTTTCAAACAAGAATGTTGAAACAGTGCTTAAATGTGACATTTTAAGCACTTGAGGGGTTGGTCAAATTTGGAAACCACTGACATGTGAAAGATTCTCTCCTCTAAGAACCTTGGCAGTTTTTATTCTTCATAATAGTTACCTCTAAATTTTGAGAGACAGGAACATTAAAAAATGTGAGAATTCTTTTTTTTTTTTTTTTAAAGATTTATTTATTTGTGCATACAGAACTGGGGTACAGGCCAGAGCTCAGGGGCAGCAAGAGGCTTCACCAGAGACAGAGTGGGGAGCAGAACAGGCAGACCGACGAAGTACACTGCCGAGGGGAGCAGCGGGCGGGCCAGGAAAGGTCTGCCACGCCATGTGGTCACCTCTGTGGCAGGCAGCAGGTGGGAATCGAACTCATGCGGAAGTGGCCCTAGCCTCTCAATGCTGTGCTTTAACCCGCTGCGCCACCAGGGAGGGCCGAGAATTCTTTTTTAACTATGATAAACCAACTGTAAACTGCAGCAAAAAAACTTTTGTTAAACAGTGGTTGTAGACTACACCAGTATCAGAACAGCAACCCTGCCCCTTCATTGTTAAGGATTATTAAAGAAAATTTCTAGTAAAAACAACTTCCACATATCATAAAATCCAAACAAAAAAAAAAAAACTGTTAATGACCTGGAAAGTGTACTAAGAAAAAAAAAAACCACACCCCACAAAATATTCAAACTTCTAAATCACATAATGGAAACTTCTATTCCTAGAAAGTATAAGTAAATATAGAATAAGCTTTAAATACACAGAAACTGGAACAAGCGAGCATTCAATTTTTATGAAGACCAGCTAACTTAAGTTTTCCTTTCGTATTTAGTTTTTAGCTGTTATAACTAATAAACCATTGTCTAATATAATATCACAAATTTTTATGCCTATGTTTTCTCCTAAGAACTTAGTCTCACATTTAGTCCTTTGATCCATTTTGAGTTACTACTGTAGATGGTGTGAAGCAAGCACATACTTTTTAAAAAATCTGCATATTATTTATAAAATTTAAAAAATTTATAATGTTTTCTAAAGTCTTTTTTTTTTTAAGACTACAATTGACATTAATCTTTACTCCTTTTTCTTCATCATTCCCATGTCATGTTATGTCATGTTAGCTACCAGGTAACAGAGAGTTTAAAAACGCAGATTCTCAAGTTAGACTGCCTAGGTTAGAAGCCTACCTCTGATTTTGAAAAAGATACCAGACCTCACTAGCCCTTCATTTCTTTGTCTGTAAAATGGGGTTAACAACAATCACCACTTCAAAGATTGGGACTAAACACTAAATATATATATAAAAAGTTGAATAGAGTGCCTGACACAGATAAGAGTTCAAGTAGCATTACTTTCTAAATAATTATTTAAAACAAGTTCTGTTTTGTCTACGCTCTTCAGTTTAATAGCTTCTACCTTATTTTTGGTCACCAACATTTTTTACTTGGATTATAAAATCCTCTTCTTAAAATGGTTTTCCTGGGGGCCCTCCCTGGTGGCGCAGCGGGCTAAAGCACTGCACTGAGAAGCTAAAGCCACTTCCGCATGAGTTCGATTCCCGCCTGCCCCGGAGGTGACCACATGGTGTGGCAGACCTCTCCTGACCCACCCGCTGCTCCCCTCAGCAGTGTGCCTCGTCGATCTGCCTGTTCTGCTCCCCACTCTGTCTCTGGTGAATCCTCTCACCCTCCACATCTCTGGCCTGTACCCCAGTTCTGTACAAATAAATAAATATTAAAAAAAAAAATGGTTTTCCTGCCTCTAATTTTGTGCTCTTGCAAATTTATTCCTTATTTTGAATTCATAAAGTAAGTCCATTGTAACATGCATATCTCATCACCTATCAATTTTCTGTATTCTAAAAAATAGTTTGCTGGTGCTTCTAGGAAAATGTCCAAACTTTGTAACTGAGAAAAAGAGAAACTGGAAAGTCGGAAAATTCACCTGTAAAACCACCAAGGTTTATATGTAGCCTTTTGACTATGAAATGGTTTGTTTTTTAATTTGTTGATTTTTTTTTTTTTAAAGATTTTATTTATTTGTGCATACAGAACTGGGGTACAGGCCAGAGGCTCAGGGGCGGTGAGAGGCTTCACCAGAGACAGAGTGGGCAACAGAACAGGCAGATGGTCAAAGTACACTGCTGAGGGGAGCAGCGGGCGGGCCAGGAGAGGTCTGCCGCACCATGTGGTCACCTCCGGGGCTGGCGGGAATTGAACTCATGCGGAAGCGGCTTTAGATTCTCAGTGCTGTGCTTTAACCCGCTGAGCCACCAGGGAGGGCCAATTTGTTGATTTTTTTAAAGAGTGTAAGTCTACAAATTTTTTTATTTTGTCAATTTAATATTTTGTACTTCTCTAGGTATAAAACCTCTTTATTTAGGTTTTAAACATATTAGTGGATATTCTTAGTTTTTAATTAAAATATCTTATGCGTGGAAAAACCCAATTGGAAACAACCAAACTATAAAACGCTGAATCAAGTTTGCCATATCTATCAATATTTTAGGATAAATCAGTTTGAAAACATATATACCTCAACCTACATATTCTCTTGAACACCATAGACATATATTGGCAAAGATCAAAAGCTATCAACCTAAAAAATAATTGGTAAATTTTTTTGCTCTCTTATTTTTTGGGGACCGAGGCCGGCATCTGGCGTCTGTCAGCAGTCATAAAAAGGTGAAATGGAGTCCGGATAGAGAAAAACATCTGGGTTGTAAAAGGCATGTGGGAAGAACTCCCTGCCCCCACCTTTTCCTTCTCCTCTTTCTTTTCTCACCCACCTATTATCAAAACACTGCTCCATTCTCGCCCATTTTTGCCCCTCGCAAGAGCCACCGCCGTCAAAACATCCCTGCATGTCTAGTGTCCATTGGCTTTCTCCCTGCCCGACTTCTGCATCTCCCACCTCTTGTATTTTATATAAACTAGATAAAAACAAAATAAACGCTCTCTCTTTGTTCTGATACACGCGTGTGACTGTTTCTTTTTGTTCGCCGGACCTGGGGCCCTGACTCCCCGGCCTTGCAGGTCAAGGCCCCCCGCACTTATTGCTAAGGGATACCAGGTAATTTAAATTCAGTAAAATAAAAATGCTCCCTGGGTGAGCCATCAAGAATAATTCATAGGATTCTGATGAAAAATCAGAGAAGCTAGTTTTTTCCTTACTAAGAGACTTTATGAAACAGGTATCATTATCCTTAATCTTCAGATAAGGACACCAAGACTTAAAAAGGGTAAGTGACAGTCTAGAACCAGAACCTAGCTCCACAGTCAATGCTTATCTCTGTATAATTCTGTCTTTAATATACAAAACTGATAGTCAAAAACTAGGTAACTCATATATGTAATTAGTTATGTCTCCTAAGTCATATCACAAGTCACTAAAGAAAATTTTTTTTGTCAACTTAATATTCTAGGCTTTTTTAAAAAAAAGATTTATTCATTCATGCAGAACTGGGGTACAGTCCAAGGGTGTAGAGGCTGTGAGAGAATTCAGCAGAGTCAAGAGTGTGAAGCAGAATAGGCAGATTTGTAAAGTACACTGCTGAGGGGAGCAGCAGGCAAGACAGGAGAAGTCTGCTGCGCCATGTGGGTCAGCTCCCTGGTCAGAGGTGGAACTCATGCTGAAAGCAGCTGTGGTTAGCTTCACAGAGCTGTGCTTTAACCTGCTGTGCCACCAGGGAGGGCCCTATTTTGGGCTTTTTTCAATGAAGGCTGTGATTCATCAATCAATGTTTCAAAAAGGCTTTTGGACATTTTTGTTCCTAAAAAGTTAACATGAAATAACATATGATATAGAACAACAAATCCTTTCTTTGGAATTTGTGATAAATGTGCTCCTACCTGACACTGGTTAATAGCTGCATGGTTGCCATGGAATGGAGATTGTCTTTCTTTATCTCTGTGATGCCGGCTGCTGTGTTTACTTCTCTGTAATTGCTGGCGTAATTTTGCAATCTAAAAAGGGGAAAGAAAACAAGTGCATCAGAATGTTTTTCATGCCACATAAAAAATGTCTTTGCCTAGTAAGAACAGTTAAACATAGCCTTAATAAATCTTTTGAGTTTTTAACCCACTTCACAAAATCTCATCTACTATTCAAAATATATTTACACATGTACATGCATAGCTGTTACACTCCAACACTGTTTTGGGCTTTCAAACTTCTCAAGCACTAAACAAAGTTTTCAGTACTTACAATAAATAATACTGTAATATCACAAAGAGTCACAAAGGCATAATTTTAGATTTTTAAATCAAACTTCTAACCTTTAACAACTCCAAATACTAAATGCTTATACATCAATTACACTATTCATTTACAAAATAATTTTTAAGTAACACAATTTCAATAATACCATTTATTGAACTTATTATTCATATTATTCCTTAACTGATTTTTTTATTTTATTTGTTATCCACCAAATGTAAATATTGTGATTACAGGCACAGAAATGGTAGTCATTGCATATGGCCATAATTAACTTGGTTATACTTAATTCCTGAAATCAGAAACAATGTCATATATAATAACAATAAATGTGAGTTTGCTGTATCACTGTAATTTTATACACCTAATATTTGTACTAATATATATGGAATCTCAAAAAAGATAAAGGAAAGCACATAACCAGTAGACAATTTACATATTCCCTAAGTCAAATTTTTATCCAACCAATGTAAGTAACTGCTTTTCTGCTAATTTCGCAAGTAAATAAAAAATGGCCCTTTCCTCCCCAACTCATCCCTCCTGCAATGACAAATTCATTCTGTTCAGACTTCAAGGAGTCACCCAATAAAGGGATCAAACTTTCATATTCACTTCTTTGAACCATTTTCCTGACCTCCTTTAGTTGATCTGTACTGCCCCAGGATGCTGAACGCTTATGAGACCCTTTCTTCTTTTCAGCATATTCTTCAGCCCATGCACTCTCTGTCTATAGTGGAAAAAAGAGGGATGGGTTACCTTAATAGCAATCAATTAACAATATAATATAACCACATTTGTGACAACATAGATCAAACCATGAGGGCAATTTGCTAAGTGAAATGTCGAAGAAAGACAAAATAATGTATGACCTCACTTATACATGGGATCTCAAAAGAAAAAGGCAAACTCAGAAAAGGAGTTCTGATTTGAGTTTCCAAAAGTGGGGTGGGAGAACTGTATGAAAGGGTTAACAGGCACAAACTTACAAGATAAGTAATAAAGATGCAATGTAAAATATTATGACAATAGTTAACACACTACATGGCTGACCCTAAAAGCTGTCATCATAAGAAAAAAGAATTTCATAACTTATGAGGTGACAAATATTAAATAAATAACTGTGATCATCATTTCAATATCTGGTAAATTATTATGCTGCACACAAAATTATACAGGGAATATGTCAAAACTGGGGGAAAATTTCCTTTTTTATAAAATAATGTATATAATATTTTTCTATTACAAAATACATCCCCATTATTAAAAAGTTTATTAGAAAATATTTGAAATAATACAAATTACCCACCAATCTCCAAGCAAATTATTTTACTTAAAGAGTTTAGTGCAGGCCCTCCCTGGTGGCGCAGCGGGTTAAAGCACTGCACTGAGAGGCTAAAGCCACTTCCGCATGAGTTCGATTCCCGCCTGCCCCGGAGGAGACCACATGGTGTGGCAGACCTCTCCTGGCCCGCCCGCTGCTCCCCTC